TTCATATACTGTTTGGTGACATCACCCCAAACAAGATTCTTGCTACAGGCAAAGGTATTACAATCCTTCCAGAACTGCACCAGTTATACTGATAGCCCAGAAAAAAAGATCCTCCTCGAGTACTAGATCTTAACTGGTGCTATAATTCCTTCATCCATTGGTTGGAGCAAAAAGGTGGTGTTTGGAGATTGAAATTCAATTTTGATACTGGGATGAAGATCACCAAAAGGAAGATGTCTAGAAGTATTATCAACAATAAGCAAAATATTAAAAGGTGTGTTATCTTTTAAATAGTTATGTCTCCATTTTGCTGGCTTAGCAATGCAGGATGATATCTTAGAAGAGAACCTGGGTCATTCATGACTTCTTTTTTTTTTCTTCTATACTGTCTTTTTTCTTATCCTCACTCAAGGACATTTTTTCCATTTTTTGTTCAGATAGAGTGGGAGGGAGAGAGAGGAAGAGAGAGAGAGAGAAACATTGACATGAAAGGGACACATCGAGTGGCTGCCACCCGCACGACCAACCAGGGCCGGGGGCAAACTGCAACCGAGGTACGTGCCCTCAGTGGGAACCGAACCCGGGTCTCTCTGGACCGCAGGCTGACACTCTAATCGCTGAGCCAAACCGGCCAGGGCCATTCATGACTTCTTATTGCTCCTGCAGTACACTGGTAGTGTGTGCTTACTGCTATGCTTGAAGGTCCTGGGATTCTCACTGTGCCAGATCACAAAGGGTTTCAGTTTGTAGCCTGCAACATGGCCCCTCAGCTAGACTGTTATCCCAAAATCTGGCAATGATTTGGCCTCCTAATGGATGAAAGTCCTTTCAGGCATGTTTCCAGAATATGAAAGTTTTATCCAAAATGAATATTTGCTCTAGCAAGTAATTTTCCTCCACAATCAACTTTAGTTTCTAATTATTTAGCTGCCTTCACATCAGCACTTGTATACTCAAACTCACTTTCACATTATGTAATAAATAATTATTTTTATATCATTTAAACCATCTAGACTGGAGTAAGCAGTAAATTAAGCATTGTAGTTGGGTCCACCCTTTTCTTTCAATGTTGCAAATAAACTTTTTGCTTTGGCCATGACCATTATGGTACTGAGAGGGATATGCTTCTGTTCCTGGTCTTCAATCCAAGTCATGAGAAGTTTTTCCGTGTCTGATATAGACCCTTCTGGAATTTTGCTAGTCTCACTGCCTTCAATGAAGCAGGTCCTTTAACAGCTCCTGTCACTTTTTGTTTTTCAAGATGGCAGCTATGGTGAAATGAGACAGGTCTGACTGATGAGCAATAACCATCACTGATTTTCACCTTCCATAGTCTTTAATCAGTTTTATTTTCATTTCGAGGCCAATCACTTGAAGTGGCCTCTTATTGGCAACATTAGTAGTAAATCCTGTATATAGGGGCTATGATGAACAAAACAACGTGAGATTAAATCAAACACAAGAGAAAATGATGCAATCAAGAGACACAGTAAACATGAGAGGTGTGAGGCTGCTGCCAGGGTAACACAACACACTGTTTTACAGCAAACATCTTTTAATAAGCAGAAAGAGTACACTAAAATAATGATAAAAATATGTAAACTAGAAGGTCATTTATTATCATTTCACGTATTATATACTGTACATAATTGTGAGTGCTATAATACTGCAGCACAGATGGGTTTACACCAGCTTCACCCCAAACACGTGAGTAATCCAGTGCACTACATTATGACAGCTATGATGTCAGTAAATTGTTATACAGCTTCTGACTGTAGAAAAAAAACTGACTGCTTAATTTCTCTCATTTATTAGAATAAATGCAGGTAAACTCAGATGTAGAAGCTTAAAAAGAATGAAATCTGTATTGATGAATGACAACTTCAAGTGCCCTATCTAATACCTTCAAGTTAGCATCTTGTTTTGATAAGCAAGGCAACACTGCCATTTTAAGTCATTTTCCCTGGTGGAGCTGAAGAGTTCATTTGAATATAAAGAAAATTGATTCATGAGCAGTAAAACTGAATCACAATCTGATTCCTAAAAACAGAAAAGAATAAAAAGTAAATTATGTCAATACTTAAGTCATTGCCATCAAAGCTGATGCAGATATGACTAAAATGGTGTCCCTAAGGTGTACTTTGTAAGAACTTTCCATGGCAATGTCACTCCAACTAAAACAATATTCATGGGGTTTTACTGCAATTCCTGGATAAAACTAGTCGAGCCTAAATCTTATTTTACATATGTATGCCTGATTCTCTTTACACTATATTGCAGAAAAGCATTCTGCAAAAAAATTAAAACTGCATACACACTACTGAGAATGTTTCCTTTTGAAAAGTTAGCCCAATCAGCTGAAGATACTCTGCTTAAGTCCGGAACTGTTTGCTTTATCAGTTTAAAAGAGGTCAGATGAAAGATACTCAGCAGCATCTGAAGCAGGTCCAAACCTTGCCTGAATCTAGAAAGAACTGTGGGGCCACACTCCTCCTTAGAAAAATGTACATTTATAAAAAATTTGAAAACAATTTTAGGAAATTCATGAGAAATCTTGATTGGATTCAGGACCTTTTGTCAAAGTGATAAATACCAGGAGACAAGTCTGTGAAAGAACTATACACGTTGTAATATGTATATTTGATACTCATATAAGCATTAAATGTATAACTTCTTTAAAAAGGAATGTAAAAGTAGAATTCCTTTATGATTACTTGAATGCATTCTTACTAATTGTTGAAATATACAGGGTGAGGCAAAAGTAGGTTTACAGTTGTTCATATGGATAATACAATAATTGATATATAATAATACAATAAATTGTTTCACAACTGTAAACCAACTTTTTGCCCCACCCTGTAGTTTAAAAAAATATATCTACATATGTAGTTCACTTATCCACTTTTTTCCTTAAAAGACTGGGAGACAGTAAGAGATAAATTAACACAATTCTACAATCAGAAAATACTCATCATTAATACTGCAGTGAGCAGAGTCAAGTGCAGAAAACCACCTGCCTTTATTATATGGATTACTGTCAAGCTAGAGTATCACCTGGGAGGAGGACACAAGGGAGCATGCTGGAAATATTGGACATAGGTAGTAGTTCCAAGGGAATAATAAATGTAAAAATTCATTGAGCTGTACACTTAGGACATGTGCACACTACAGTATATATACTTCAATTAATTTAAGCACTCAATAAATGTCAGTCTAATAATCATCACTACAGATAATAGATTGCAACTTTTGTCAATATAAACAATCTTTATCTGGCTTACTAATAATAGTGATAAATTATGGATATTTTCACCAGATTGACAGATCCAACACATTCCTTTATTTTTTTTTTTTAATTTTTTTTTTTTTTTATCCTCACCCGAGGACATTTTTCCATTTTTTGTTCATATAGAATGGGAGGGAGAAAGAGGAAGAGAGACAGAAACATCAATGTGAAAGGGACACATCGAGTGGTTGCCACCGGCACGACCCAACCAGGGCCGGGGACAAACTGCAACCGAGGTACATGCCCTTAGCGGGAACCGAACCCGCATCTCTCCAGACTGCAGGCCGACGCTCTAACCACTGAGCCAAACCGGCCAGAGCCCGACACATTCCTTTAGGCGTGTGCACGCACGCTCACTTATCCCACGATTTGCATTTAACAGACTTATTGAACCATTCCCCAAGTGAGAAAAATTCCCGTTATTTCCTTTTTTTGTCATTAGAAATAAAGCTACAGTGAATATCCTTGCCCCCACATTGTTTCTTCTGATAGTTTTATGTCTAAAACACATTACATATAAACTCTTAAGGTTCTTTCAAATATGAAACTTAAGTCTCAAATAACTGAATGCTTACCTAAACAAATACTAATTCAACATTATACTAAATCAACATGAACAACAAAGGTAGGGTATGGCCATAGGTGCTACAGAAAGAACTACCTGAAGTAAAACCTCATTCTAAACCTATATTTGAAATGAAAAGTTAGAAATAAGCTATTCTTTTACACTTCTGAATGTTAATCACAAGTAGTCTGAAGTCTATAGCTCTTTCCAACAGTTCAAGGAATTAAAAGATTCTATTTGATGACAAATAAATAAACATGACATACTCTCAAGTGAATAGATGTTAATTCCAATTTTAAAAAAAAGTAAAATAGATATACACACAAAGAACGATGCCTAAACGTTAGTTATCTTGAAGAGGTGCAACTGCAGTCGCTTTTCAGCTTTATGCCTTGACGTATTTCCTAATTTTGCTACAGTGAGTAAGTCCTATTTTTATAACAAAATAGTCACTTTTTTAAGAAATAAGAACTTAACACACTTTCAGTATATGTGTCCAACAAATTAATTTCTGCATAACAAAGTGCTTTTGCTCACACTGTTAAGTCACATTGGCCTGTGCCCAAACTGCTAAGAGCACCTGAAAAATCCCTCGCACTTCCCAATGGTGAATTCTACCCTGCCACACCTCTCGCTTCCAATCTGCTCACTCTCACTTTCTATCACAAAAATATAATATTATCAAAAAGTATAAACAAGATATGGGTAGACAAAATTTCACGTGACTTATTTTAGCCAGTCTCCATCTTGGTACAGGTTATATATCTATTTTCAGCACAAACCTGCTTCATGCCTGAGTCCCAGGTTCCCTGCTAGCTGGACTTCTGATTCATACTCAAGTTCCACATTGAAACCACTATTACTAAAAATAACCGGCATCCTTTCTTACTTGCTCCTCTAGATTTTATCTGAAAAACCCTATAATAAATCTTGTTCCACAGGTCCTCTTTATGCAAATCAGTTTCTACAAACTATAACTTTGTCGGCTCACGGCAAAATTTCTACAATTTTTGTGAACGACAGTTATAAAACTTAAAGGGAAAAAAACGGAACTCAAAATTACTGCCAGGAATAAAGGCTGTAATGTCAAAACTTTCATTTAGGATGCTCGTAAATTATAGCATCAAAATATGACATAGCCATACTAACCTTGGTTCAGGTAAGTGAGCGTTTCATCGTGCAGTTTTACTGCTGGAGACGTTGCAGCACACATCACATACTGAAAGGGCGGGTTTTTAGTTTCATCATCCAATGGAAGGCTGGAATCTTCCTGCTTGAAAATGGGCAATGCCAAGACATCACTGAAAAGCAAAAAATCAACAATGACCTTACTTTGAGTTTAAAATATTTAAAAGAATATGAAAACATTTAGGGATAGTTTCTTTTAAAATCTCAGCTCAAAAATGATATGTAGAATACAAGAACTATTAATGCTAATCTGGCTCCCTCAAGTGATAACATTAAACCTGTATCTCTAGTGTGGCTGGGTGGAGAAGGGAGGTGACTATGATTAGGCAGATAAAATAAGACGTATTTAATAGTTGATAAAGTCCATGCTACTGATAAAGAGACCAGGATAGCAACAAAATGGCGCTTTAAAAAAAGTTACTTCAGCCCTGGCCAGTTTGGTTCAGTGGTTAGAGCGTCACATGCGGTCCAGAGAGGCCCGAGTTCGTTCCCGCTAAGGGCATGTACTTCAGTTGCGGTTTGTCCCTGGCGCTGGTTGGGTCGTGCGGGTGGCAGCCACTCAGTGTGTCCCTTTCACATCGATGTTTTTCTCTCTCTCTCTCCCTCCTGCTCTATCTGAATAAAAAAGTGGAAAAATGTCCTCAGGTGAGGATAAAAAATAAAATAAAATAATTAAAATAAAATAAAAAGTTACTTCAAAAAATGCTTTAAACATGTTAAACTCACTGTTTCTGTTAAAAAAAAAAAAAAAAAAAAGAGCAAGTCGAGAGTATAGCTACCTGTTTTGAAAGGCAGGAACTATTATTGCTGCCAAAGGTAGGTCACATTAGCACCATGAAATCACAAAGAAGCATTTGATTAAAACGGTACTTCACAGAAAGTTTCCTGCAAGGCCTGGCAAGTGCTGGAAGCATAGATGTCATGCTTAGTATAAAACAATGCCTTCTTCTGAGAAGCAAACAGTAGCAGTAAAAACAGCCGCTACTTTTTCTCCCAAAAGCAACTTGGGGCATTGATTGGGAAGGGGATGGAGGTGAAGGGGGCGGTCTTCTGAGGCACTGTCTATATTCTGTTAACCTGGGAGGTTAAACGCACATGGGTGTTTGGTTTGCTTTATTAAATAAATAAATAAATAAATGAATAAATAAAACAGCTGAGACATCATTTACATACTATAAAATGCATAATTTTAAAGCATATAATTCAGTGGCTTTTAGTGTATTCACAAAGTTGTGCAGTCATCATCACTACTTCCAGAACATTTTCATCATCTCAGAAAGAAATCTTGTACCCATTGGCAGTCACTCACTGTTCCCTTCCCCCCACCATACTCCCAACCCTGATCCACTTTCTCTCTATGGAATTGTCTATACTGGACATTTAATGCAAATAGAATCATGTGGCTTTTTGAGACTGGCTTCTTTTTCTTTGTTTTCAAGGTCCACCCATGTTATAGTATGTATCATTACTTCATTCCTTTTCGTGGCTGAATGATATTCCATTGTATGAATATACCACATTTTGTTTACCCATTCATCACATGGACATCAGGGTTGTCTCCAATTTTGGCTATTATGCATAATACTGCTATGAACACTTGTATATGTATGTTTAATTCCCTTGGGCATCTATATACCTAGGAGTAGAATTACTGAGTCATATGGTAACTGTGTTTATTTTACTTTTTGAGCAAATGTCAAACTGTTTTCCAAAGTGGCTGCATCATTTCACATTCCTACCATTAATATATGAATAAACATAATTCACTAAGCTGTTCATTTATATCTTGATAATTTTATTTATATATATATATATATCACCCCCAAGTGATTCTTCCTATCCAGAGTGATCATATTCTACTACCTTAAGAAGACTTCCCAATTATTAATTGGTAGGTAGCCAAAGGGGTGCCATAGAAAAAAACAGGGGTCAAACTCCTGCTCTGGAGTTTCAAAACTAGCTCTACCATTTGTTGAGTGACACTATGGCAGGCTACTTAACTTCTCTATGAGCTCTAATAATGGGTTTGTTTTTAATTTAGAAGAAAATATTTTTAGTATGTAAACTCTAGCCACACATTAGATCAGAGATTCTCAAAGTGTGGTCCTTGTAATCCTGGGAAACCTGAAACTCTTTCAGGGGGTCCAGAAAGTCAAACCTATTTTCAGATTAATATATTATTGGCCTTTTTCACTTTGTTGACATTTGTACTCATGGCACAAAATGAGTGATGGATAAAACTGCTGGTGCCGACCTGGCTGGTTTGGCTCAGTGGTTACAGCATTGATCCGCAGACAAAAGTGTCTTGGGTTTGATTCCGGTCAAGGGCACGTACCTCAGTTGTAATTCGGTCAGGATTAAAAAAATTATATATATAAATACACATACACACATATATACATATTACTGATGCTTTGGCATGAATCAAGACAGTGGCACCAACTATACTAAAAATCATTATGTAAAAATTAATTTTATTATATATTAGTCCTTGGGTAGGTATAATGTATTTCTGCTGCACACCTACATACAAAGGTTGTCTCAGGAAAAGATTTTATACAACTGTGATCTGTGAGCTGACCTAGCAGTTTCTCTCACAGAATATCATTTTTACTTGAAAGAAAAACTGACAAACTATGATTATTCAGACCTGAGTATTTGACAAAAATTTCTTTAAAAATGAGTAAGTGAGCCCATCATTTACAAGCACGATATCTGTTGCCAATGATAAAATCTGAACCTATCACCATGTGCTTTCTCTGATGAGATGATGGTGATATTAAGGAAAGTGACTTTTTTGATAATGCATAGTGAAAAGTGTCAACATTTAGAAGATCTGCACAACTCATGAAACCATTGGTTTTCAAATGAACAATGCATGCATATTTCAAAATTATGCAGAATAAGAGAGCCAAAGTCCAAGACAGACAACTGATTCTAATGTAACAGTACAAAAAGCACACTGACATAGTTGTCAATTCCAAGTTGCTACTTTAAGAAACCACCACTTGTCAAGTGTTGGTATAATATCAAAGAATTTCCAAAATTATTTAAAAGGGCTATTAAGCCCTGGCCTATTTAGCTCAGCGGTTGGAACGTCAGCCTGCAGTCCAGAGAGACCTGGGTTCGGTTCCCGCTAAGGGCACATACCTCAGTTGCAGTTTGTCCCCGGCCCTGGTTGGTCGTGCGGGTGGCAGCCACTCGATGTGTCCCTTCACATCGATGTTTCTCTCTTTCTCTCTTCCTCTCTCTCCCTCCCACTCTATCTGAACAAAAAATGGAAAAATGTCCTCGGGTGAGGATAAAAAAAATTTTTAAAAAAGGCTATTAAAATAATCTTCCTTTTCCCAAACACGTATCTACATGAAGCTAGATTTTCTTCATGTATGTCAACCAAATATATTCCAATAGGAGATAAGAGAATCAATTTGTTTTTCTAAACTAGACATTAGAAAGATGTGCAAAAAGCATAAGATAATGTCACTTTCTCACTAATATTTTCATTAGAGAAATAGTATTTTAAATAGAAAACGATAATATATAATGGCTTATAACTTATTTTGCATAAATTAATTTTTAAATTTCTTGATTATGAAGGGACTACAAAAAAAAAACACAGCATACTATTCTATTCAGAGACAAGTAATTTGAGATTGAGACAAAGTAATCCATAAATGAGATGGAGATAAAGTAATCAGAGATTGAGACAAAGTAATTTGAAATCGAGACAAAGTAACCCATACATTAGTAAAAACGACACCAACAGTGGTCCTACTCAAAGTCATTCTGCTAAAATGACAAAGACCCTTTAAAAAACAAAATAGAATACTATTTACAGGCATATTCTATCTTTGCCTCCAAAATTTTTTACATGTTTACAAACAACAGCTTTAACCACTACATATCAAGATTGTCAGTCATAAAAGAGAAGGAAAGACTAAAGAATTGTCATTGAAGGAGACAAAAACTAAATGCAATATGACATCCGAGATTGAAACCTGAATTACAATATGAACAATCGATGAAAACCTGTGAACCAAATAAATCTTGTACTTTATATAACAGTGCTGCACCATGGCATGTTTTAAAACTGTACTCTGGCCCAGCTGGTGTGGCTCGGTGTACTGATCATCATCCCATGGACTGAGAAGTCCTGGTTTGATTCCTGGTCAGAGCACGTGCCCAGGTTGCAGGCTCGGTCCTCAGTGGGGGTAGTGCAGGAGGCTGTCAATCAATGTATCTCTCTCACTTCAATGTTTCTCTCTCTCTCTCTCTCTCCCTTCCTCTAACTCTAAAAAAAGTAATAAAACATATTAAAAAAAAAAAAAAAGAAAAGAAAGAAAGAAGTTTTAAAAAAAAAATGTACTCTTGCCCTGGTCGGGTGGCTCAGTTGGCTGGAGCATCATCCCATACACCAAGAGGTTTTGGGTTTGATACCAGTCGGGGTGTGTACAAGAGGCAATCAATTAATGTTTCTCTCATCTCTCATCCATCTCTCTCTCTCTCTCAAAACATATCCTTGGGTGAGGATGATTAACAACAACAAAAAAAGTAGCCCTAGCCAGTTTGGCTCAGTGGTGAGTGCCCGGTAGACCCAAGTGCTGCAAGTTCGATTATGTTGGTCAAGGGCACGTACCTCAGTTGTGGTTTGGTCCCCGGCCCTGGTCGGGGTCCTGCAGGAGGCAACCAATTGATGTGTCTCTCTCAAATTGATGTTTCTCTCTCTCTCCCTCCCTCCCACCCTATCTGAAATATATCCTCTGGTGAGGATTGAAAAAAAAAAAAAAGTACTCTGGTTATGGAAGTAGGAGAAGCTTGGTAAAAGGTTCATGTCAACTTGCTAGACTGTCTTTGTAATTTGCAAACCTAAAATCATTTAAAAAAAAATTTTTTTTTATCCTCACCCAAGGACATTTTTCCATTTTTATTCAGAAAGAGTGGGGGAGGGGGGAGAAAGGAAGAGAGAGAGAGAAAAAAACATTGTTGTGAAAGGGACACATCAAGTGGTTGCCTCTCACACAACCCCAACCAGGGCCAGGGACAAACTGCAACCGAGGTACGTGCTCTTAGCGGGAACCGAACCCGGGTCTCTCTGGACCACAGGCCAATGCTC